CTCACATTAAATTAAACTTCCCGCCAGGAACCAGCCCGGCTCCGCTTTGCCAAGGCGGGGAGAGCAGGACTCGGAGGCTTAGGAGGTTTCACGCAGAAAAGGAAGGATTTAGGTAGATGCGCGCTGCCTGCCAAGGCAAATACCAGTCTGAATCGCAAAGGATCCACCATCCCCGGGCGATGCTGCGCTCGCAGCATCAGCGCTGCAGAAGATGCCAGTAGCTCAACTGACCAAGCTTCACCCTCAATGCTGAGGACACGTCACTCAGATAACACACACCTCGTGCAAAAACAGCCACGAAACCGTTTGCTAGGACAGCCGCCGTCGGCGCGTTTCAAAAATTGTCTGTTTTCCCATTAATTAACTTTGAAGCGGGAGTTCCTTTGAGGTTTATTTTTGCAAAGCTGAGGGGCTGACGGTGCTCAGCCCCCCTCAGGCTGGGTATAATATTAACCCATGTTTGAATCCGCTGCCGGTGCCCGGGCAGCCCTCGTGGCGGCTGGCGTGAGCATCGAGACTCGGTCAACAATAACTGAAGTTAAAAACGTGTCAGGTTCGTGATTCCACCCACTGAGCAGAAAACGCCAAACTTGTATTATTTTTGAATCCCCTGATTTTTAAGGGCTGGTGGAAATAAGATATCTTGCTTCTGACTTCCAAGCAATAAAGAGAGGTGAATCACTACTAAAAAAAAAAAAAAAAAACAAAACTCCCATGGACCACCCAGTCACTCCGTACGAAGCTGTAAAACGAGCCTCGGCAGAAGTGGCAAAGTGCAGAACTATTTTCTTAATATTACTGCAATCGCACGAGGCAAATCACATCAGAAAAGGATCAGAGTTTCCTAACGAAGTGGCTAAGTGAGAAGCGTGTTAATGAACACAGGCTGATTAATATGCATTGAACTAAATCACATTCGGGTCACAGGGGGAGCACCAAACCTGGAGTACAGCATGTTCTGTTCGAGGACCTAACATGTGTATGTAATTCAGATTTAAATACTTTTTTCCCCTCATAGTTCTGGGTAATTATCCAACTCGGGATAAATAAGTAACTATTTTTTTAAGTAAATATTAGTTAGGACTTTTGTTACTTATTGTAATTGGTCAGATCTCTCATTTTTTTAAGATTATGTGACTCTGTTACTGAAGAGTCCTGCTGGGGTTTTGAAAATTGTAACTTGCAAATCACCGCATTATGGTGCTGATCGTATAAAAGATGAAGTGGCATGTTTTTGACATTTATTTGTTGCTGTTTTTTAATGAGAAAACATACATCTTTTTAACAGAACACTGGCTGAAAGTCCTCGGACTGAAACTGGGCATGTGTTATTGACGTTTGCATTGTGGAATAGTATTCTGGGAGACCACCTCTTGTTTTCGAGCGGGAGAGGAGGCACCACAGTGAGCCTGTTTCAGGGAAGGAGGGGCGGGGGGGGCGCTGGATGCGGCACTCCGGGATAAACCGTAGGGAAACACCAGGGACCAGCGTTCGGTCATGCAGGTGTTTCAGGGGGGACTTGTAATTAAGACGTGGGATTTGTAATCGGGAGATTTGGGTCCTATTTCAGGTTGTGCTGCACGACTCCTTATGCGATGCTGAGAGTTTCTTTGAGGTGATATCCCCGGAGAGCGTTGCTGAAATAAGAATTAGGTGCCAAAATTCTTCCGCTCTCTGCTTGTAACACAGCTGTAATACATCCTAATTTTGATCTAACTTTGTCCAGTGTGTTTAGATTTAGGTTTTTTTCAGGACAGGAACTGTCCTCTTACCATCTGTTTTGGCAAGTCCAACCTAAACGGGTCCACGTTGCAACTGGAGCCTCCTCGCGTTACGTGAGCATAGCAGAATCCTAACAGCAGCCCCCAGGTAATGCCCCAAAGCGCTTGAAAACAAATTAAGCGTGCTGCTTGTGAAGTAAGGTGGTGGTCTCATTTCCTCATTCCCACCAGTACAGTTGGCACTACCATGCAGACCATACTCTCCAAACAAGCCCCAGTAGAGGTCGGTGACCTCTGAGTGAGGTCAAGAGACATGTCTCTAAAAGCCAAGGGTGGCATAAAGGAATATGTAAAAAAATATATAGCAGTGTTCGTAGGCATCCGGGGATTTAGCTAAAGACCTGCTTGGTTACATGGTCCGTCCTGTGCTGTAGGAAGTCTTACTGTGATAGTGGCTACATGATATGTTGCACAGTGGGGTTGATGTCTGCCAGTACGTGTCAGAGCTTTCATCGTCCTGACCAGAGGAGGAGAACCTGCAAGGTTCACTAAGGTTTCCTCTTTACCTGAGGTATTCACTATGGAGTTTTTGTAGATGTTGGAGAAGGCAGATCCAAATGTGTGCTTTGCTGGGGGATTGGGAGGTTTGTGATGGTCTCCAGCTCCCAAGGAGTCTTCTTGTGTTTGACTCGAGTTGGGTGTTGAAGGCAGCTGGCTTTCCTCCAGACACCCTCTGTCTTTGGGTGCTACGTGGGCTGGAGGAGCAACGGAGAACTTCAGCTGTGCCTCTTGGGTCTGTGGTCAGTCCTTCAGCTTCTGCATCTCCTCAGGGTTTCTGAAAGCTTCATCGCTTGTTCACTGAAAGGAAGAGACCAGTGGGGGGCTGTGGTTAATTTGGCAGGAGTGTGGTCCACAGTCCAGCTCCTCCGCCTGTGGTGGGATGCTGGGGGCGTCGCGGGGTTGCGTGTTTGCTCTTGCACTGTCTTGAAAGTCTTCTGTGGCCACATGCGCTAAAAATTGTGAGTAAACAGTTCATGGGAGGATAAAGTTCAGCTGTGTGAATGGAGGAGTGTTCTTTAAATAAAATAATAGTGGTGCCAATCACGGTTACAGCTTTCAACCCAGCTGGAAGGTGGGGGAAGTTCTCATTAGCTGGTCTGAAGGCTGAAAAATAAATTACTTTGTTACATCAGGGCATTACTTTTCAACGTGTAATAGATTAAGTCAGCTTTATAACCTTCAGTTTTTATGGATAAGATCATGAGAGTACGTTCTTTTCGTCCCTTTTTTCCTCCTCTTTTGTTTTAACGTGTCTAAGGAACAGCTAATTAATTAGGGCTAAACCCTAAGCAATGTGATTAATGGGACAAGAATCCAAATCGGCCTCAAAACTCAAATAGTCCTGAATAGGCATCAGCTGCTTCTCTTCTTGTCTTTGTGTGCATGGATTCCCGTATATTGTTTTATGCCAACACGCTGAATCGCTCCTAACACGTTCCTTTGTCACCGCTGCGATGGCTGGGCAGCCCTGGACAAGCCCAGATGTGTCTTCGCGGCCACCGCCCTGGGGTTGGCTTCGTTTGACGTATCGTGTTTGCTGGCACTGCAGCAAGTTCACGACGTACGTCCTGCGTCTGGTACAAGTCCCGGTGTCAGCAAGGTTGAGCCGGCAGCAGTCCCGTCTTGGATAAAACACGGAGCAATTAAATGCATCGTCCGCTTTTGGTTAAAAAACAGGTTGTGTATGAAAGCAAAGCAATGAATTTTTGAGCCCGTCAGTTCTCAGCATCCTTGGTGGTGCCAGTGCAGCCCCGGCTCCTGCCTTCCAAAGGTTAACGGGCAGATGGGATGAAATCGGGCTGTGTGACGCACGGGATGACGCACCGTGGGTTAGGAGCAGAGATATCTGTGTGATGCTGGGAACTATGTATTTGGAAATGACTTGTGTACAGGGGGACCTGTGTGCATGGGCTGGCAAGCACTAATGTGACAGCCCGGTGGTGAAGATAAATGCGGCGTTAAAACACAGCGGGAGGGGTAGTTCTGGCTGAGCGTAAGAAATAGTAACGTCGCTGTACAAGTTCCTGGTGAGACCCGTCTGATATCCTCCTTACGGTCCTTGTCAGCACCCAGAAAGATTGATTGAGCCTCGCTGGGGTTGAGGGCACGGCTGCTGGGCTAAGCAGGTAGGGAGGTCCTCTGGGAGAGGAGACCAGGGCGGTTTGTCTCGCTTGGAAGTATAAAGGAGGAGAAGGAACGTAACTGTACAAATAAAACAGAGGGGGGTCTATGAACAGGTAAAATACTGGCTTAGGAAAAAAAAAAAATTGTAGGCTGGGCTTTAATAAATTTAGGCTGGAAAAATAGAAATTAAAACCAGTGCTTGTGAAGAAGCAGAAATTGCTCTGTGCGTTCGGGTTTATATTAAGCTCTAATGTAAAGCTCTGGCAGGGGGGTGGCGCGTACCTCGAGCAGGGGTGTACCTGTGCCTTCCCCACGGCTGACGTATGAACACGGCGAGGAAGTGATGTCTTACAGCTGCAAAATGGAGCCCTGTGCTGTGAAGAAGTGATTCATGACCAAGGCTAAACGGGCAGTGCCCAAACACAACCGCCTGACGCTCATTAGGACTTGCTGGAGAACTGCAAGGAAGTTCCTCATATTTTTCAAGTCACCGTAAGAGCAAGACAAAAAATAGCACGTGCCTACAAAAAGCTTTTTCCAACATGTATAAATATTTACGGAGACTTCTCTGAAGGCTTGCAGATTTTTCCACTTTCTCTGCTTTACACGTGCAAGACATTCTCCTAAACAGCCAATAAAAGCTAAAATTAAAAAAAAAAATGCCTCTTAAAAAAAAAAATGCACACTTCTATATTTAATGCTACTCTTTAATTAGAAGGTCCAATATTTCGTCCTGAAGGGTTTCAGGAATGTGGCTGTCACAGATACATCGGCATAAGCAGGAAGCGGATGATTCCCCTGGGGCCAGACCGCCGCGCCGTCACCGGGAGCGCTATGGAAATGAAGTCACACTATACCCTGCCTGATCTTTCCCCTGCTGAAAGCAAGGGCAGAGCTCGCGTTGCAAGCCAGTGGGGTACATTTGGGCTGCAGCCTGGGCAGGGAGGGAGAGGTTTGCCATCACTGTTGCAATCATGGAAAATCAGTGCAGTATGTGCTAGGGTGCTAAAATCCATCCGGCGCGTCCTTCACCGCACTTTTCCTGTTGTCATTTAAGCAGATGCAACACCCTCTGCCGCCTTCTTTCCCCTTTAGGTGCTTTTGATCATAAGTGGAAACCTGAGTTTCCTCAACTGGCTGACCATCGTGCCCAGCATCGCCTGCTTCGACGACATCAGCCTGGGGTTCCTCTTCAGCTCCAGACGAGGAGGGGTGAAAGAGCGGGTGGCGCAGATGCAGCTCGGAGGGGCAGCCGGGGAGCAGCTTCCCCCGCGATACGGTGAGTTATTCCCAGAGCGGGGAAAACATTGCACAGAGGTGCGTTTGGTGCGCTCATCTCAAAAGCTGTTGTCTCCTTCTGGAGCAAACATGGGTGGGCAGGGAAAGGGCTCTGCCCCAGCATGTTCTCCTCTGTGGGTTGGAGGGTGCCGGGACCTCGTGCTGCGGACGGTGGGCATGAAGCCGGTGGCTGGTCACAAGGGCCCGTGGGGACATTGCCACGGGGGGTGGCTGCACATCCTCCCTGCAGGGCCAGCATCCGCAGCGAGCGCAGGCAGATGCAGCTCCACACCTGAGCCGGTCCTCCTTGCTGTCGCCCCAGTGAGCATCAGATGGCAAACCTAAATAAGTGGTGTGGAATTGCACGATTTATCTTGGGATTTTTATTTTCCCCCCCCCACACACTTCATTTATTTATTTATTTAAACTATTTAAACTCAAGGATGAAACACCCAGTGTGGTTTGCGGCAAGGATTTCATGTTAGAAGTTGGGTGCAGGAGCAGCTCAGGCGTTTGCTGTCCTCTCTGCCCCGTGGTGGCCCTGTGACTGATCTGCCCTCCTGGAAGGGCGCTAGAGCTGCACCAGCGTGCCGCTTCTCTGCTTAAATAACTGACATGAGCCCAGACTTCCAGAAAGAACCAAACTGATTGTTGATCTGTTGTGGGTCTGACAACTCTTTAGCTGACTGGGAGAGAGACCTGGCTGCTGGCAAAGTGGCCCTTCCCCATTCAGTGTCCTCCTTGGAGAGGTGAGAGGAGCAGATGCTTTGGCTACCGCTGGCAGCGTGGGCACTGCCACGGTGGGAACGAGTTGCCCAAAGGAGGGAGGAGGTAAACTCGTGTTCATACCGTGACTATGGAAAAGCAAAGACAAGGGGTTTTGTAACTGAACAAAAGGGATCAATGTGGCTGATGTTTCCTTCTGAAGGGAGTTTTCAAGCAGCCCCGTTCCAGAAGATCGCCCGTGCAAGCAACACTGGGATATTATTCATGGGGCTGCAAAACAGATGTAGAGTTGTGTTCGTAGCATTTTTATAAACCGCATATAAGCAACAAATTGCCTATAATATCAACAACAATCACAGATGCTCATTTTTAAATATACTAAACATCTGTCAGAAAATGAAAAATGTCAACAAGATACAGCATCTGTCTCTAGTCCTTTCTCATCTACCGAGAAACACGGCTTATTAACCAGAAGCGTTAGTTCCAGCAAGGCTAATGTAGTTTCATTAATGCACTTTCTGTGTCTCCTATCTTATGTATTTTGCTGGAAGAAATCTTTTAACAGCTTTTCCCCTCCGTTAGCGTTGCTTTAGAGGCTGTGAGAGCCTGGAGCTTTCCTATCAACTGTATTTTTGTATCCAGTCCCAAACAACACTCAGGTTGCACTTTGCTTTCTGGAGGAGAAGCCAAAGGGTGCCCCTTTGCTGTGGCACTTGGGGAGTCATCGTGAGGGTGAGGTAGATCCTTTTTTTTGAGGAACTTGCTCTTTTTCTGTGATGTTCTCCAGAAAACCTTACCGAGCCAAGGTGGCCAAGCAAGGAGAGCCACCCATACATCCCACCACTCTGGAGTATAGATGTGTCCCTATTCTGGGGCTTTTAAAAAGCTGTAATCTGTAAGTAAAGAGTAGCGTATCTCTAATATTCTGGGTGAATTTGGATTTCTGCCTATTTTTTTCTGCTAACAAAGCAGAGGCTGTTGAGCTGGTGCTGATGGGCTGTGTGGTAAGAGGCTTACCTCGCCCCTGGGTCACCAGAGCAGAAGACAGGAGGGTACCCAGCCATGCCCTGCTCGTGACTTGTTTTTACAAGGCTCTGGCCACATCCTTGAAGTGCGCGTGTGTAATTCCTACTGAGACCTCCAATTCCCATTGCTAGTGTTCAGCTCCTGCCTGCTTGATCCAGATCCCCTTGGCTTGTGTCCCACGCTCCTTCCCCAAGTCTTGCTCCATCCTTGCCATATTGGGTTTGTTTGGGTTTTTGTCCTGTATTAAACCCTTTTTCTCTATGACTGAGTACCTGTGACCCCAAGGGCATGATGACGATCACCACCTGCTGAAGGATGAGCAGTCCGTGTGTGGCTGTAAAGTGACCTAAGGAGCTGCTGATGCTCCACCATGTGGTGGAGGGCTCTGTCTCTGTACCTGCTCTTTAGTTACAGGCTAGAAAGTTTAGCCCATCTAAAAGACAAAAAAAATGCCCGACGGACTCATACTGCTCTCCCAGCAGCACTGGGAGCAAGGGGAGGCATCTTGGCGAGCTCCTTCCCAAATCAAATGATTCTCCAGAAATGTTCTCAGACTAAACAATTATTAATAGCTTCTGAGAGAGGTTCAAATAAACATCCCTCTCCTGCAGAGATAAGGGGAAAGCGACATGCAATTGCTTTGAATCTGATCCTTTGGCTGTTAACGTTAAACAAATTTAAGACGGCCATAAGGGTAGGAACCCCTCAGAGGTCACGTCTGCTTATTTGTCTGATTGCAGTAGGTGTCTCCTTAGCCTGAAATCCAGCACAGCCCTGCGCTGCTCCTGCAGACCGAATTCCAAAGCGCTGGTGAAGCAACGCGCGGCTCACGAGAAGCAGAAAGAGATTTGCAAAAAAGGAAAACGGGGTTTGAAGGGAGTTTAGTGAGCGAGAGGGAGGGAAAGGCAAGGCAGAAGTCCGGGTGGCGAGAGCCTGGGGCGGTGGGGAGGAGGCAGCCCCGGGCAGGAGCGGCGCCCCGAGGAGCTGGAGGCACTCCACGTGTGGCTTACGAACCGGGAGGGCAATTTTGAGCAAGGTGCAAGTGCCAGCTGCATTTTGGGTTTGTTTTTTTTTTTCCCTGGTCTTAAAGCAATGATTAATCTTAACATTTTCGACATTTTTCTTTTTAGCCCTTTCTCAGACTATTTAGAGAAAGGCAGATCTCCAGAGCGATAGCGTATGGCCCTCGGCAAGGTCGGCTTGATTACGGCGGAGTGTTTGTCAGCCCAAGAGCTGAGAGCAGCTCTGAGCACAGACAGGGTCCCGGCTGCCACGGGGGGGTCAGGCAGGGGAGCGGGGGGAGCAGAGCCCATCGCCGGCCCTGAAATAACCTTCTTCTGGTCTGCTTTTGTGTCCCCAAACAGGCTGCTACGTCCGCAAAGTGGTCAACATCTCCTTTGGCCTCCTCATCGCTTATCTCAGCATCCCGGTTGTCCTAAACCTGCTCAACTCCAGACAAGTCATGAACACCTCCTTCAACCCGCTCAGAATAGTGAACACCTACGGAGCTTTCGGGAGGTACGTGTGTTTTCACGGCACATCGTATAGCTCTGCTCCTCTCTCCAGTGTAGTCTGATAGCCAGTCTGTGTGCCTTAACCCTAAGGAGAAATCCTAGAAATCCTTCCAGCAGCCAATAGACTTGGAATATCTGTTTGGGAGGGAGAAGGAGAAAAGGAGCAGGTTTCTTTCCCGCTGGATTATAATTTATGGAATACCTGTTTATGAGAGAGAAAGAGAAAAGGAGCAGGTTTCTTTCCCACTGGATTATAATTTATGGAATACCTGTTTATGAGAGAGAAGGAGAGAAGGAGAAAAGGAGAAGGTTTCCGTCCCACTGAATTACAATTTATGGAATATCTGTTTATGAGAGAGAGGGAGAAAAGGAGCAGGTTTCTTTCCCACTGAATTAGAATTTATTTTCTTTGAGCCCCTTTTAGTTAGCTCATTATGTTGATGTAGCGAATGTAATATAGCAGGATGAAAATATCCATAAGAGAGTTCTTCCAGTGGATAGTCTTCACCATCACCAGCCCGCTATATTTATGGTGAACTCCTCTTCCCCTGCGCTTTTGCTCTCCCTCATGTAAATATTCACATAAGCTATTGGGTAGCAGATTGAAGGCCAACGAAAGGAAGTGCTTTTTCCAACGAGTGACTTGGGGAATTCATTGCTACAGGAAACTGTGGAGACGAAAGTATAAATGGCCTCAGAAAAGAACGAGACAGATGGAGAGGACAGGCCCAGCAGCAGTCAGCCTGGCTGCTGCCTTCAGCTCAGGAAATCCTGCTCATGGCTGCAAGGTGGGACTGGACAAGGGAAGCATCTCCAGCTGTGTTTGTAACCAGGCTGGTTTTGAGGCATCTGAGTCTGGGTTTTGTGGGGACAGGTCACCAGGCTTAGGTGAGCCACGGTTGGGTTCACCGTACCTGTTCTTGCGTGCCAACCCTCTCTTCCAACTGAGAAAATGCTGAAAAACACGGCTTCATCAGAATAGCTTGCCCCAGGGACAGCAACAGGGCTAGTCTTCTCTCTATGGACTTTGCCACCACCTTGCTATGGTGGCTGTGGGGTGTTCCCCAGAGGTCTGAGCTGAGGGTTGGGATGGGCAGCTCTTGGATTAGTGGGCTCCGGACAAGGTCCCACAGGAGAAGCCAACAGTAATTAAATAAATAGGTTTTATAAAAGGTGAAGCATTTATAAAAAGGCTGTTGAGAGGGCTGGCTGAGCCGATGGGAAAGGGGAGGAGCAGATCTCACTGGGAGCACTGGAGATGCAGAGGACACCTAGAGCATGTCAAATTAATGTGATGTTTTTCCACAGTTTTTCAAATAGCAGAAATTTTGGGGCGGCGGGGGTGGGGGGGGAGTTAGAAAAAAACATGATTAGAAACATCAATGCTAGTTGTGGAAAATGCTGAAGTTTCTCCTTTTTTTGAGAGAGAGAGGGAGAAATAACCCCTGAACCTCTTTGAAGGCTGGAGCGGTGAAGCTACGGGAGATTGTTTTCTTTGGGTTGTTGTTCTTTTTCTTCTTCAGTCTATGGTTTCTGTTTCAACAGTTACCAGAACCTAAAGAGCATGTGATGAAATGCTGCTGTAATATGTTTGTAATTCCAGCCTATGTAAACCAATAAAAAGAGGATTGCAGCTTATAATGAATATACGATTATGTGAAACTTGACATATTTTGAATCACACAGTAGGAACATACTTTTATTAGTAATTTGGTGTCCCTGATTTACAGTGTGTTTCTAACCATTGGGCAGCTGGCCACGGCTCATAACTCAGCCCAGCGTATAATATGGAACTTGGCTGGAGAATCCCAAAATCTATTAAATGTAGGTAACAATTATAAGCGGAGACGTGCAGCATTCCTCGGGTTGTAAGCATCTATCACGTGAAGCCGTTGGGGGAGAAGGTGGAGGCTGTGTGATTCCAAACTTTCGTTTTCTTGGGTTGGGGGAAGAGGGACCAGAGTAGTAAAAAATTAAAAGGGTGTTGGGAGCTGCACAGCTTTGATAGGCAGAGTTACGCAGCTATGTGTTCGTTATGGAAAACAGCTCTCCAGTGTAGGTGAGCGTCACTGACAGGTCATTGAGAACTTGATGATGGCGTTTTCACATGGGCTTTCCGTGGCCTGGAGAGTTTGCCATCCCCACTGCTGTGCAGAGAGGGTCCAGCCAAGCAGCAAAGGGAATACGCGTGACCTGCCCTAAGGCTGGGCTGCTCTTTAACCAAGTTCCTACACATCAACTGGGTATGGGGGGCGTTTTTTTGTTTTCATTTTCTGCTTTTCTTGGCTTGGTTTGCATTGGCTGACACGTTACCTCCTCCTCCTCCTCCTGCTGAGTAATAGCTCCATGAGACCCATCTTCCAGCTGGGATGGTGAAATGTTTGGGCGTGTTACATTACAGCTGTTAATGGTGCCCCAAGAGTCAGCTCCTGGGGGGTGCTCCGTATGGGGCCAACCACCAGCCCAAGGTTCAAGCAGCTGTAGCCAGGTAACCTGGGCTCATCGCGAGCATGTCCTGCCCTTTGCCGTGGCCAAATTCGTGCTGGAGCTCAGCACCCCGTAGCCAGCAACGTTGCAGGGAGAGCCAGGCTCGCAAAGGGGACACTGGAGTGTCCCAGCTGGAAGCTGCTCTGCTGGTCCCACAGCTGGAGGTGCCAGGGCCAGACCTTCAAAACGCAGAGCCCGGATTTCTGTGTGTGATCACTTGTGAAACTTCCCCTGCAGATGTCGTTGGTGGCCGTGCCGTCAGGGCAGCCACACGTGCCAGTTACAAGCCAATATTTTTGCACATGGCGCATGCTTAAGATCTGGAGATGGAGCTACGTTTTGTGACCATCTTTCATCTCCATTTTCTCATGGCATCAGGAGCTTGTAGTCAGAGAGCTCTTGTGTCACGCAAGTCAAAAGTTTTCTTCAGAAGCATGGGGCCAAGAGAGAAGCTGAGGCAGGTTGAAGATGCTCATGTGAGACTTGGGAGACACTCGTTATATTCTCTCCATGTCTTGGACAAGTGTTAGGCTCTGATTGAGAAAGACAGACCCATCGATTTCAGTAGGAATCATCTTTTTGGGCCGTAGTCCCTCCTTGGACTTGCACAACTACAGTGTGATAGAGGGGAGCGTGGGAGGACATAGAAGTTGAAGTTTTCCATGTACTTTGCTGCTGGAGAGAGAAAAGTCTGCTGGATAGGCAGGTTCTCTGTAGCTTGACCCATCAGGATCCAACTGTACCACAAGGCCATCGACTCACATTGCCGTATTGACTCTCATAAACTCGCATTTTACATGACTTGAGATAAAAACCAATATCATGTTGTGTCCCACAGCATTACCAAGGAGAGAACAGAAGTCATCCTTCAGGGGACATCCAGCCTGGATCCCAATGACCCCGCTGCTGTCTGGGAGGAGTATGACTTCAAATGCAAGCCAGGGGACTTGAAGAGGAGGCCGTGCTTTATCACCCCCTACCACTACCGCCTGGACTGGCTTATGTGGTTCGCTGCCTTCCAGGTAAGTGCCTTCGGGTGCTCTGAGACTTGGGTGTCCCTTGACCAGGAAAAACAATTTATATGAATTTACTATGTGTTGGTGTGGGTGGAGGAGTATCTGAAGCTCTGGCTAAGTTAATTATATTTAAAAAAAAAAAGGTTTGTATTCCTACAGGATGTCTGCTACTAGTGTAATGAAACTCTTGGAAATTTTATGTGAGGCTTTTTGTTTCTCAGCAATACCAAGAGTTCCAGACATTGAGAAAGCCCCTGGAATGCACCTGCCTGGCGAAGCGGTGGCACAGCGGGGCAGAAGCTGCCTCGCAGGGTGCCCTGGGGCTCACCAGGGCTGGCAGCATCCCCGGCTGCCGGCTTCGCCAACCGGCTTGAACCCCCGTCCCTCTTGGGGACACCCCTGGGGACACCAGCAGTTGCTTCCACTGCCCGCCTGCCTGCATACGGACGTAGGGTCCCTCCAAATATTTTCCCCACGTGGTACCAGCAAACGGGTGACAGCCATAAATTTAAAAAGAGAAGGCGGGGAGGGGGGGCAACTTGTAAAATTAATTCTTGTATGTTTTTTAGCCTGTTCTGCAAAATCTTGTTCACGTGAGCAGGAAAACTTGGACTGGGTTTTACCAAACTGGGGCTTACAGCAGTGGCATGAGGCAAACCCATCTCAGATAATCACGGGCTTTGCTCTTTGTTCCTGTATCCTCTCCCGGCATATCTTCTTCCCTCGCTCCTCTCCCCCCGCCCCAAACTTCTCTGTTTGCTTTCTTTGTGGTATTTTCATTTAGGCGCCTTTTGGATTCCTCAGCGATGACATAACCATTGCTCTTTGGCTATGGTTTTATATTTACCCCGCTAGTTTTTGTGTGCTGGAATTTCATTTAATCTGCATTAGGTATGCTTATCCCTCAGCAAGACGACAGCAAAGGTTAAAACTCAAGCCAGCAGCGGTGCCCGGCATTACATGAAGGTGCAGAAGGTTGAATGGGAGCTGTTGGTTTAAATCGGACTGTATTTCGGGAGGGCTCCGGCAGCGGAGGAGAAATCCAGCTCACCCAAACGAAGGTTGTTTCTGAGATGAGAGAAAGGCTGTTTGTTTCCAGGGCAGGAATATCCCAAAGGCTTTCAAATACAAAGTGATCTCAGGTTTTAAACCAAAAGAGGCATAAATAGTGATGTGTCACAGGCGAGCGTGCTAAGGGACAGCATCACACCGCAGCGCTGTCTCTCCGCAGAGCCGGACCAGGCACTGAGCGAATGGGACAGCCTGGGGAGGAGGAGGAAGAGGAGATGACATGGCCTTTTCGCATCTTTATTATTAGTGTTTCATTCACGGAAAGGTGCCCCCAAGTGTTTCTGTTCTCCTGGGTGCAGGGGGCGGCTGGCGCCAGTGCCTGCCACAGCGTCTGTCCACACCAGCTGATGAGCAGCAATTAGCGTTTGTGGGTCTCATGCCCGGGCCGGAGGAGGGTGCTCGCCTCCCCCTCGGGTGGGTGCGTGCCAAAGGTGTGCGCCAGCCCCGAACCGTGCCCATCACCTCCTGGAAATGGGTCTGTTGGCCCTTCCAGGCCATTCCAGCGTGCGCATCCCGTGCCCACGGCAGCGCTCCCTCGTCCCCTCCTCCTGCTGGCGACTTTCCCATGGCCCTCCCCCGGTGCACACAGGTCTCCGTCCAGCATTTTTAGATCGTGCTTACAAGAGTTATTGACAAAAGGTGCAGAAAGGAGAAATAAAAACTTCTGAAAAGTGGGGATGACTTGATGAGAACAATAGGAAGGCAGGTAGCCCAGGCACAGCAGCAGGCATTTCCAAATCTGGATGTGCAGGAATTTAAATACCTGCTTAAGCATGGAAGTAAATCCCATCTGAAGTAGCCAAATGTTTGTTTGAAAACTGTGAGTTGTATATTCGGTGCCAGCTGTCATCCCTGGGAAAGCTGGCTGTCCCGTTGTCGTCCCTACGCTGCCGCAGCCAGGAGAAGTCGCCGTCATTCAGTTGTTGTTTAGGCTGGAGTCACGCAGAGCTGCAGAAAGGATGAGAAACCAAAAGTCGAAACCCCAGAAGAAATTTGTAAAGCCAGGCAAGTTTTGCAAACCCCGTACAGTAGTTTACAGAGTCCATAAAACCAAGTTACTTCAGCCTCTGGATTAGATTTAATTTGTTTTTGAAAGTTCTGGATTTTTTCTACGCCACTGCTCGCCGTCTGCCCCATCGCTTCCCGAGCCGGCGGCCGCGGGGCTGGTTTTGCAGTTCGTTGGCGGTGACCAGGTAAGGAGCTGACATATCCAGCTCTGACAGGCTGCAGAAAAGCCGGGGACTTGGGGGGAAGATATTTACCATCCCTTTGTGCTGCTCGTGACAGGTTCCTCTTTGCACCTCATCACCGCTTGACATATGACGCCTTCCTCCGCTCGGGGTTTCCTGCAAAACTTTCCACCTTGGCTATAGCTGCAGGATTCGCTTTGAAGAGCCCGAGCACGGGAGAGCCCGGCCCTTGGCACGGCTGGCGCGGGGCGGTGTG